TTCAAGTGAGAGTAAGAAACATCTCTTCTTGACCATTTCTTCTCTGACACTTCAAAGTTTAAAGGAACAGAAGGTGACCTGTTTATGAGATAACAAGCTGTCAGCAAAGCTTCACCCCAGAATGGCTTAGGTAGTTTAGCCATACTCAGCATGCAACGAACTTTCTCCATAATGGTCCAATTCATTCTTTCGGCTACACCATTGTGCTGTGGAGTTCGTGGAACCGTCTTCTCATGTCTGATTCCATATGCGGCGCAATATGCTGAGAACTCCCGGGAAGTGTACTCTCCTCCATTGTCTGAACGCAGGCACTTCAGCTTCTTCCCTGTTTCTCTTTCTACCATGGCATGAAATAATTTGAAGCAATCAACCACTTGATCCTTACTCTTCAAACAATAAGCCCATACCTTTCGTGATGCATCATCAATGAATGTCACGAAATATCTGCTTCCTCCAAGTGACTCCTCTTCAATGGGTCCGCATACATCAGAGTGTACAAGACTGAGTAACTCTGAATGGTTCTTCCTGGTAGAACTGAAGGAAGCCCTGTGTTGTTTCCCGAATAGACAGTGTTCGCATGGATCTAGGGCAACACCTTTGCCCATGGAAATCCTTTCCTTCCTAGCAAGAGTTGTCAATCCCTTCACGCTTAAGTGGCCTAACCTCCGGTGCCACAAGTTTGGTGATATCTCTTCTTCAACAGCATTGAGACTCGGATGAAACAACTTTGCATGAGTTTTATACAGAGTACCACAAATATGGCCTCTTGCAACAACCAAGGAACCTTTAGATAACTTCCACGTACCTTTTTTGAATCGGTTAAGATATCCTTGCTGATCTAGAGCTGTACCAGAGATAAGATTCAATCTAAGATCCGGAACATGTCGAACATCTTTCAACACAAGTGCGCATCCGACATTGGTTGTTATGTGCACATCACCAATGCCAACAATCTTCGAGAAACTCGTGTTTCCCATCTTCACAGCTCCAAAGTCTCCTGACTTATAAGATGTGAATAAGTTCTGGTGTGGAGTAGCGTGAAATGATGCGGCTGTATCAATCACCCACTCAACATCATGAGTACCTACGTGTAAACATTCTTGTTCACCATGTGTAACAAGACACGCATCTAATGACAAACTAACCATAGTCACACCATCTTCTTGGCTAGTATTTTGACTCGTTTGTGGCTGCTCTCGTAGAAACTTTCTACAATCTCTTTTTCTATGCCCATAATTACCACAATAGTTGCAATATCCTTCAAACCAAGTATTGTTTTCACAGGACATACCTCGTTCTTGTGATCGGCCGCGAACTTGAGAATTTCCTCTGTTTTGACTTTGACCTCTACCTCGACCTCGACTTCTTCCTCCATTTCTGCCTCCCCCTCGCCTGTTGGTTTCTGACACGAAGGCATATGATTGTTCAGTCCCGGCTTCTTTTCTTCGGGCTTCTTCGTTCATAAGGGCATCTGTGACCATCTGCATAGTCACTTTGCCATTGGGAGCAGAATTGCTGTGAGTGACAACAAGAGTCTCCCAGCTGTCAGGTAGAGAGCTCAAGAGTAGTATCGCCTGCTCTTCATCTTTGAGAACCCATCCGGTGGTGCTCAACTGATTCACAAGATCCTGGAATTGACTGGTGTGTTCTGACACCGAAATACTTCCTCGTAACTTGTGGTTTACTAATCTCCTCATTAGTAACATCTTATTTCGGGCGGTTTTTGCTTGATACAGGCTACCAAGCTTCTCCCATAGTGTGTAAGCACTTTGTTCTTACGCAACATAGTGGAACACACTATGATCTATCCACTGTCGAATTTGTGCGACAGTTTTTCTATTCATTTTTGTCCATTCTTCATCCGTCTTTTTATCCGGTTTCACGCCATTATTATCAAGAGGGTCGGCTAAATCCCTCAAATTTAGCAAATCCTCCATCCGAGGCTTCCACATATTGTAATTTGTGGAAGTGAGCGCAATCATGGTGTCCGATGATGATTTATCCATAATAAAACGCTCAAAATATCTCGTACCTTATTTTCGGAGCCGAATTTGGACAAACGGAGCCACCGTTGGATCCAGAATGGCCGAAAATGGTAAGAACCGGTGTAACCTCGTCCAAAACCGGTCTGGAAATGGGTGAACCGGCCTCCACAACTTTGAACCGGTTCGGTCCGGTTCAAGCAGCAAACCAGTGGGCAGACCAGCAGGTGGATGACGTGGCAACAGCTGGACTGTGCTGGCGCTGACGTGGCACCCCAGGAGATGGCTTACACGGATGACGTGGCGGCTGACGTGGCGCTGACGTGGCGCTGACGTGGCGGCTGACGTGGCTCGTCTTCTTCCTCTAGACTGCGTGATGACGCAGGCATTTTTCCGGCGCGTTTGGGCGGCGCGTACGGCCTCTTCCGGTGGCCAAAAAATTCCCCAAAAATACCAGATTTCTCGTCTCGACGAGACGAATCTAACGGTATGATCAGATCGTGATTCCGAGCAACTTGAAAAATCACGATTTTCTAACCTGTAGAAATTTATCTGAAAATGAGAAAACAGTGTATGAAAACTCAACCTGGCTCTGATACCACTTGTTGGGATTAGAAAATTCTTCTATTCAATATCAAGAACAGAATTACAATAGGAGGAGCAAACTCTCACACTCAACTATTACAAAAAATCAATCCTCACCAATACACTTCTACTCTAAGTGTATTTCACTCTTCACACACTTTTCTCACTTTCTAAACTGATGATATGAACAACAATAGAACACTCTATTTATAGGCTGGTTTGGAGACAAGAGGAAGTTGAATCCAAGCTTCCATAGTTATCTCCATATCTTCACCATGTTCATATGTTGGAGACCTCCTTCCAAGGTGTGAGATGCCTCTTGGCAACTTCCAAGAAAGAAGGTGGAAGAATCGTACACCTTAGTGATAATGCATCGATTTCTCTTGTTGTTTCAGTCATCAATGTTATGATATTTGCAGCCACTTGGGGAAGAGATCCGGATAGGGATGGCTTTGTTTGGTACTTTTCTTATTGCTCTTAGAGTTTATATATGTGTCATGTGAATACAATTTTTTTTATCAATGGTTGTCTTATTGATAACTAATAACTACTCTATAGTAAGTTACTGTTAGTTCATTTTGAGTTGATGAGATGGAGTTTTGAAGACAGTGGATAATGAGTTAAGTAATAAGTATACTTTAACCTGTTGCTAAAGAAAAAGAATTAAGAAAATGCAGATTTATAGCTATTTCAAATATTATAAGTGTGGAAACATAATTGTATATGCTAATATTTTGAAATGTTTGCATCCAGATCACATATACACATGAAGAGGAAAGAGTGACATGAAGAGGAAAGAGTGACATCGGATGATGAATGAGCTTTGATCTCCATGTATTGCTTCTCCAAATTGTGTTTCAACTTAACGACCCAATTCTCATATATACTTGGAGTCTTGGACAAGTCATGATTACGTTCTACAGACTTGGCGCATATTTCAATGATTTGTGGGCAGTGTAATTGTAAAGACTTGAGGCATTTTTTTAGATTTGTATATATACATTTGCTTTTAGTTTATTGGTTGCAGTTTTTACATGGTTGTGTGACTAATTACGTTAATGTCATTAGCCTTTATAGCATATTCAAGTGTATACTACGTAATATATTCAAATTTATTAAATAAGATATTTATTAATTTATTGATTTTTATACATTTTATATTATTCATGTGCAAATCAATGTGAATATATATAGTAGGTGTTACATTAGATTAGATAATAAGTGTGGCATTCATTGCATCATGTTTCTAAAGTGTTACACTGTTACATTTGAGCAAGTTATAAAATGTTACATTTGTACTCCAATCTATGGTAACGTTTGTGGTAACACTTTTAGTTCGTCCAGAAGAGTGTTACATTTGATTAAAAAATTGTTACATAGTGTTACAATAGAGAAAAGGCAACGCCAGCGAATGTAACGACACAAAACTGTTACATTTGGGAGAATGTAACAGACTTTTGGATCAATAGTAACGAATTTGACTGTTACAAAAGGCCTCTAAATGTAGTAGTGTCTAAATGGAAATTTTATTTTTGGCTTGAAAATATTTGGGTATGAAATTTAAGAACTTGTTCAAAACATTCAGTATGAATTCAAAACATTTGGGTATGAAATTTTGAGGCTCTTGTTCACAAAATTCAGATCTAAATTTTAGCATGTATTGTGTATCTTTATCATCTTGTAAGAAATGCCAATTTTTTGGCATTTTCACAAATTGTGGCATTTTTATAGCATTGAATTGAACTTGTCGGCAACATCGCTTCTTTCTTCTTCTCCTATTTTACATGTTAGACTCTAAAATGTGAAAATGCCATAATTTGTAATCTGAAAATCCCATGTTTTTGCATATAGAAATGCCATTTTTTGTCATTATTATTTTCATAATGGCAGTTTTGCCTGAAATTGAAACTATACACTCCTTAGGAGGTAGCTGTGACTAAGAAGATGCCAAATCTCCAGAGAAGAATTTAGATGTGGCTCCATTCTCGTTGTGGGAGGGGGTAAGTCAGCTCACCGGAGGTGCAGTGTGAGCGGCAATCTCGGCCACGACAGGTGCACTGGTCTCACTTGGCTACGGCGACGGTCTGGACAGCGGCGGCCGTGCACGGAAGGTGCTGAAAGTCTCTGCCGTTTGGGTTTCATGCGATGTGCAACGAATGAGGCAGTTGGGGGAAGAATTTTTTTTACTGTAATTTCATTAAGCTAGGGCAATATTGCCTAATCAGTTGATTTTTGGTCCTATAAATATGAGAGTTCTATTTGTGCATTTCAACATTGATTTCGACCTACTTAGGGAATTATCCCTTAATCTTATTTTAGAACTTTCTTGATATTATACTCTCATTGTGAACAATTTCTTTTTCACAGCTCACACTAACCATAAAAAAGAATAGCAAAACAAGAATATATAAACAAGAAATTCAATTAATCAGACGACATACAAACGTATAGTGTATATATACAAACGCATAGATCGAGTGCCCACCGGTGGCAAAGAATATTTACAGCAAGCTCTAGACATCAAAACAAGACGAATTTTCAAAGAATTCCATCATATTAGTGTAATAATGACGTTCTTTCTTTTCCTCCGTACAGCCGTCGCCGTTAACAAATGTAGCCGTTCCCGGACTCGACAAAGGCGTGGGAAGAACTGAAGAATAATCAAACCTGGAACTCCTTTGACTATTGTGATTGCACATTTCGGTTAAGGGCTCATCATTCCCAAGTCCTACTCCAAAGGAACCATAGCTCTCCGGACTTGTAAAAAAATCACTTGAAGGAACCAAATTTTCTTGCATCATCGTATTCTGGTGGTCGAATGTTAAAGTGTTGTCGTGTGATCGAGATGTGACGTGTTCAAGTCTTGGGAGCGGATTCCCCGGGTACTCGCCTCGTGGATATGTCAATGTGCACTGGGCTGCACTTTTAATCGTATTCTCGTGGCCAATATTATTCAACTCGACGGGGCTTGTGGTAGCGGCAGCGGTGTTCATCGGCTGCGTGTTATTTGATGATGTCGGGCAAGTCGAGGTCGTGAGGTTGTTCATTAGGGCGGCTTGGTTTTCTTGCCACAATTTCTGAAACAATAATTGATCATTTGTGAAATGGCAGCTCTCTAGAAGCTTTTGGGATAAATTGTGTGAAGTATATTCGTTCTTTGCTGCCGTGAGAGTGGATAGAAGACGCAACATCTCCGGGTTTATCAAGGCTTGTAAATGAAGCGCATTGGAGATATTAAGGTTTAGGAGAGACGAGGAAAGGTCGAAAAGATCAAGGCGGGGAGTATGAGTGACGGGGTCTATGCCGCTCTTGAGAAGCCTCTTTCTTATGTGAGTATTCCAATAATTCTTGACTTCGTTGTCAGTCCTCCCTGGCAATTTAGCTGCTATAGCCGACCACCTTATAGTAAAAATTAAGTCACAATATATCAGTCTCAATTTTATGAAATGGAATGAATATATAAATATGCAATTAAATTAAGTATACTCCGTATATCATAGTAGTAAATACACCTCTCAATTTTCACTCGAACTGACAACCTAACATACTCGAATGGTACACTCCAATGACTCCATTGTGATATACTCCATCCGTCACGTCACATTTTAGTTGGTCAAAATTGATTTGTAATGAATGATAACAAACTTTGACTGATAATATTTTTATATGAAAGTATTTATCAGTCAGTATATGAAAATGATGTGAAAACATTTTTGACGGGATTTTTTTATAAAATTCACAAAAGTATAAGAGTAAGGGTGATAGATCAATGGATAAATACCTATATATGACTAAAACTCATTACAATTTCTAAAGTATGACCAAGTATAAATGTTTATTTCCCAACATATGACTCTAATGAGATCAAAACAATTATATCCGTAAAATCAAGGAGAATTGAAAGACAAAATTGACCTTAAACATACGTTCACATAGTAATATAGAAGGTAAATTTCTCATAGATCAAAGTTTATCACCATTGACTAGAAAAGTGACTATCAAAAATAGGACAAAGGTAGTATGATACTGCCTATGTAGTTAAGCGGGAAGATAAGAGAGCTAGAAAATTCTATTATGGGACAAAGAAATTCATGTCATCAAACATAATAACAACTTTAAAAAATAATTCATAGCTGTATACACTAAATTAACTAAAAACTGGTAAAACCTAAAACTAATAACTAGCACTTTTCTGTGACAAAAAAAAACATAATGGAAATTTTTCTGCATAAAGATATTGTTCTATCCCATACAACTTCTCAAGGAGTTTACTAGAAAATTGAGATAAAAACAAATCGATCTAATATGTTAAATTTTAATATAGGTAAACTAAGAATTTGATGAAGATTCCAAAAACTGTCTCCATAAAAATTTATAAGCATTGCACATCATATCGTTGACAATATACGAGTACTACGTAGATATTTATATTAAGAGATAATTATCCTAGGCATGATTAAAACTCAATGAATTTCCCAATCTATGACCTAACTAGTTTTTTCCCGCAAATAATATTAATATTCATAATATTTAATTAAAATTTTTAATTAATAAGTACTACGTAATACATAATTTTTATGGACAAATATACCCTTTAGCTTGTATCTATAAAACCTTAACTTCTCCCCCAATTTTTTCAACCCTAGCCACAACCTCCCAACGTCCACCCACGAAGCCGTCCCGCTGTCCGCCCGCCGTCTAGCCACCGTCCACTGGCCATCGCCCGCCGCCTTCTTCCACAGAATACTGGCATGTGAGCACAGTCGTCGACTAAAAACTCTGGCCTAGTGCAGGCGTCCGCCCGATCTAGTGCCAAGACGTCGTTCGACGTCGATCTGCTGCCTGCCGCCTAGCCACCGCTTTCCGTACAACTTCCACTCACAGACAAGCCATCCCAGAGCTTTCTCTCCATCTCCTGCCTGGCAAACGTGCCTTGACGATTTGTGCGCCGCCGTTTTAGGAAAAAAGCTAAAACTAATTGTAAAAACGCTTTTTTGGATTGTAAAAAAAAGGATGACACCCCATCCTTGAGGGCCCCCAACACCGACCGGACGGCACGATGGGAGGATGTAAATTGGATTATAATCACAATCTGACAGATAGAGAGTGAGACTCTGTCCCCGGTACTTGCAGAAGCCCTATGCATTTTTCAGCATAGTAACCCCTCATCGCAGTTGCCGAGATTCGAACCCGAGACCTAACTCTTGTGGCACTCCCTCACTACCAGTTGAGCTACGCCCACCGGTTTTTTGGATTGTAAGTAACATCATATATACGCAGTGGTGGAGCCACCCTTTGAAGTGTGGTGTCAATTGACACCACTGTTTTTTTCTCTATATATATTGTATATATTTTTAAAAAAAAATTAAATTAACACCACTGAAAAATAAAAATTTTGTGTATAAGCATAATCTTTCATAAATTGACACCACTGACACTAAATTCAGGCTCCGCCCCTATCTATACGACCCCACGCCCTTGATGAGCTCCCTAGCTTCGGCCGTGTTGTAAGCTTTAATTTTATACGTAGACAATATCCTATAGTTGAATGGTTTATCTGTTCCAATATTACAATTTCTGTGTTTAATTATGAAATGGAAGAATTGGTGTACATCTTAATTTGTTCCATCTACCTTATTAAAATTAAACGTAGACAATACGAAGTGTATACTACGGAGTAGTAATTATAATTACGTGATGAGCATCAAGTTAGTAAGTTACTAACCTTATCCAGCCTATTTTGAATCTTATTATATTCTAGGATATACTCCGTATATAATACTTCGTACTCTAATGGGTTTCAGAACATATAGACTAATCTAACATAATTAAAAGTAGTACGACTAAAGTAATTAAAGGATAAAAGGAATTAGTCTTACTTGTTTCCAAGAACACTATGGAGTTGGATAATACTCTCTTCTTCTTCGAAAGAAAATTTGCCTCTCTTAATATCGGGTCTCAAATAATTAGTCCATCGAAGACGACAGGACAGCTCTTTCCACATCTTTGAAGCCCTACATATATATTTACATGCGTGTGGTATATGAGCGATTGAGCATATTAATTAATTGAGATTATGATTACTTTTTGAATCACCATGAAAAAAATTAAGATTGAAAAGTGAATTTATGTACCAGCATTTTTAGGGAGGGTTCTCCAGCTTCCAGGTCCAATAGCTTCAATATATTGGATGAGTTTGAGATCTTCTTCAGGAGTCCAAGGACCCCTCTTCAGTACTCCATTTTTATCACAACATGGAGATCTTCCCATTGTTTAAATTTAATTCTTCTTGCTTTCTTTCTAGAATGAATATATGAGACGAAGACAAAATGAAGTTTTGGAAATGTCAAGTGAAGGTCCAAATTTATAGATGAGAAGCTAATCATGTAAATTGATGCAAGTCAATAGTATTTGGCGCCGGCCATCTTGCATGTCAACCTCTCCTTGCGTCCAGCATTATTTTTTTGGGTAATATTTTATTTTACTTGATCTCTCCAACTTTACCATTCTATTTTGCATTGTAATTTATTTAACGTAGAATTGATTAATTTAATGTTGAATTTTTTAATTTTTCATTAAAAAATAAATTCATTGATGATAAAATTAATTAATCACAGTGTACATAATGTACTATCTTCGTCCCATAATGTAAGATACTTGTACATTTGGTGCGAGTTTTAAGAAAATAAAGAATAAAGTGGTTGTTTAGAGATTTTAACCTCCTAAAAGTAAAAACGAGAAAAATAAATCCACAAAAATTAAATGGTGAAGTAATAAATAAAGAGATAAAGCGGAATCAAATTCAATTTAAGAAAGTGATCACATTTTTTAAACAAACCTAAAAAGAAAATTGTGCTTACAAAATGGGACGTAGGGAGTATAAGATTTAAATCAATACTAATATAGGGTTTAATGCACCAAACCCCCTCGTGATATCAAAAGTCAGCGCCCGCATTAGTCCCATGTGATTTGAAAAATGCGTCAAACCCCCTTGTGTTTTAATTAATTATGCACAAAACCTCTTTCATGAATAAATTTGACGATTTTGAAATAACTTTTCCTAATATTTTGATTGAATATGCAAATAAATATGTCAAAATTAAATCTCTGAATCATACAAAAATGTTAATCATTTTTCTTTTATTTGACAATTGAATTTGTTCACAGAAGGGATTTGGCGCATAATTAATTAAAAAACAAGGGGGTTTGACGCATTTTTAAATCACAGGGGCTAATGCGCCGAATTTTCATATCACATGGATTTCGTGCATTAAACCCTACTAATGTATGACAGTTCTCTTGATCCGAAGTGTATATACGTACAAAAGTGAATAAATTATTCTTTCTAAAATGCACCTCCTACTTTGATAACATTTTATTATATGAATAATACACATTTAGTCATATTTTTCAGTTTATTATCTTTTATTCTTATTTTAAGTAATTTCTTTTATTAATTTCTTCTTCTAAAGTACTGCATATTGTCTCGTTCTCTTTTGTTGTAGTACTTTGACTTTTGCGGTAATAAATCCTAAGTACTACGTACTTTATTTTGACTATTCTTTTAGTAAAAATTATTGTGAGTATGAGCAGCCTTGTTTGGTTTCAAAACATGACTTATTTGACCTAAACAATAATACTTAAAGAGTAAATTACCTATATAGGAGTAAGGAGTTGTGAATTTGCCAAAATAGGAGTCGAAACATGGGGTATGTTTCGTAGGAGCATTTTTAGCCCTATTTGACAAAAATACCCATGCTCCCAATAACCGCCCATCAGTTGCAACAGGAGCGTGAACATCGGAGTCCCAAAAATAAGCCCCGAGCGCCGGAAATTTAGCGAATCGATATGGAAGAAAACCGATCATTTATTGTGACAGACGTGGGACGGCGGAAGTTACGGTGTTCAAGTAAAAAAGAAAAATATCAAAAACACATATGCTGGTCGTGGGACGATGGAGAAAAACAAAAGCGTAAGATTGCAGAAGAGCAAGAGAGGAAGAAAAGAAGCGGTGAAGATGGAAGACGATGACTTCCAGCCTGAAAAACCTGGTCCGCTGACCATACGCATCAACGATGAAATGGTCAGTTCGTTTTACTATTTTTGAAGCATAATTTGTGTGAACAGTAATTGATTGTAGAATGTATGCTGGGAGGGAATATTTGTGTAAATTAGTGAACAAGAATGCTAAAATCCATGTTATTAGGCACAATAGCAATTACACAGATGGTAGAAACTTCAAAAAGTGTGGATTAAATTGAGGGTGTAATGTTTGTTGGAATTCAATAATTGCCTAAAAGTGGAAGAACTGTGTTTAGTGAGAGTGGTTTGTGTGGAATAAATTGGTGGAAGAAACTTTCTAAATTGTACGG